TGAAAATGGCGTCAAACTTGAGCTTGAAAACTCTAGTCACCAAATCGGGCCTATCGCTGGCGGTCTGACCCGGGTACAGATTTTCTTGGATCTCTTTCCATCGCGGAGTTACATGTGATGGTTATGAACAAATCGGGTTTCCCGAAGTGTGATACGATGGCCATGGAATCTTGGTAGTTTTGATGCATGTTCCGCGGAGAGCCAATGAAGGTTGAGGGCAATATGATTCTGCGTCCTGCAGGTCCGGGAATATCGTCTTCCCCTCGAAGGCGATCACGCAGCGCGGAATAAGAATCGGCACGCAATTTCTGTTGATTCTGACGATGGTAATTCAATCTGTTTTGCTCGATCTTTACAAATGAGTCCACCGCGAACTGCTGGAACAGCTTGCCGGCGTGGAGAATGGGGTTGAAGCAGTTCCTGATGGCCAGGAGATTGGAGTAATACTGCTTTTGAGAAATCCTCTTCCCTCGACCGTCTGCCAAGTTAGGATGCCAACCATACTCCCCTCTCGGAAACAGAAGAGGATAAGTTAGGGGGTCGCCTCTTGGGTCTAAATAAGATATGTTGGTCAAGGTCCCACTTCGCTCATGGACGGCGAGAGCTCGGGTCGCAGGCACATCACCGTCTTCACCGACGTAGATGACGGCGACCTCATTCGTCTGGGTAGATCATACAATTCGACCTTGTAGGCCTTGAGGTTTCTTATCATTGAACACCATCGTGAGCTTAGCCCTGGGTCGATGCTCTCTTTCCGCCGCAACTATCTCCGCCTGTTCTAATTCAGCCATCATCTTGAAAGAACGCGCGTACGGACTCGTCTCAGCAATCAACCGACTCAAGTGCTGCGTTAGAGAGAGATCACATTTGGAGTTTTGAGGTTGCCGGAGTCTCTGAGCTGCAGCTTCCGCAGTATCTAGTATGTAAAGCTGACCGTAAAGCCTTGGAGCCTCGTCTCCTGGATGGAGAGGCCCGATATTATGATATATTTGGCCAGGTATACGGAAACAATATGGACCGATACCCTTTGGGACTTCAATTTGAGGGGTAGGAAAGGTCGGGCCTACGCCGTGGGGCCGCCGAGGGAACAAACAGCGGTCTGTCGAAGGCTTCGATGTTATCTTTGACACAGGAGGCCAAGGGCTTGACGCCGACAGCGGACCCCACGTGGAAAGCTCGGTAAGCAAACTCCATGAGATAGACCCAGGAAGAGGGATCGTTGTTGCTGGCAACGTCATTCAATACATGGATGAACTTGCGCGCAGCTTGGGGGCGAGCGCCCTGAGGGATTCTTGGGAGAACTCGTAGGTGTTGCTTGAGGGTTTGGAGATCAGGTGCGAGCCGCTCTGGTATCAGAGGTGCCGTGAGCGGGGAAGAGCCGGCGGGAGGGTCGTCCCGAGGGGGAGCGGAGGTGATTCCGGGTGAGGACTGTGAGGAGGAGAGATCAGCTGCGGAGCTGGAACCATGTTTGGCACGCATGTGATGTTTGAGGCCCGTCGAATTGGCGACGACGTCATTGCAAATGATACAAGTGAGGTTTGTGGGGCAAGCCCCGGGCTGAGAGGCAGCTCTGGAGGAACTAGCTGTACCGGATGGCCCGGCCCCGTCTTTGTGCATGACCGTGATGTGGATCTTGGGGCCTCGCGGATTGGAGGCCACAAATGGGCAGAGCGGGCACTTAACGGCGGGATGGTTATCTTCGGCAATATGAGGGGGCATTCCGGGACTCATTGGTGCTTGGTGCGATGCGGGGGGTGTGCCAACAGAGACAGGCTTGCTGAAGGTAGCCTTGAGGGTCGCAGTGACGGCCGCAGCGATGGCACTAGAGACTATTCTGGAGATAATAGAATCAAGGCTCAATGAAACACTCTCTAGGACTTTGGCTGTAACCGCAGCAACCAGAGCATCATTATCAGGGGCCACGTTTGGTTTTTCGGGAGACTGCTGCGGGGGAAGAGCTTTGGGCTAGGCCGCTCGGACAGGATTTGGTTTCTTCGACGACGCACAGTGGTCAAAAATCGATTTCTAGGTGGACAAAATTATTCGGTCGTTTTTCGCCCATATCTCAAACTTGAATGGTTCAGACTACCCGATACGATGAAAATTAGGGACGGATGACCCCCCACAAGGACGCACCGACCCGAAGAGTTGCGATTTGTGTCGATACGACCGAGGGAAAATTCTTCCGTGGCCGACAACAGGCGAAAACCTAAATTGCTCATTTAAGACCTTTGCCCCGACTTACCCCAGGAATTTTTTTTTAAAAGCTCCTCAAGCCTTCCGCTTTTCGAAGCACATCTCCAATTTCTGCGCATTTTTGCGCTAAGGGCTTTAAAAAAAAAAAAAGGCAAATTTTCGCTGATTTTAGGTCTTCATCGGAGACATCGAATTATAGCCGGGCATGCTTCAGACGAGATGGCCTGGGCTATCTTAGAATATTTTTTCCTCTCTTTTACTGCTCGTGGGTGACCATAGGCGGAGATACCGGGATGCAGAATTCGCTACAGGCTTTGAT